TATATATATATATATATATATATATATAATAAGATAATTCAGTTATTTCGGTTAAGTCGAATAACTGACGAATAAATTGATCATTTATACTTAATTTTAATTTGGATTGTGATGAAAAATACCATCGGTACGATTAATGTCTCACAATCGTGTCCGTTGATTTTGAAATGAAACAGTTTAGGGCGGCTAGCCTACCCGTTAAGCTTTGTGTTTCCTTTATAGATCTCGGGGGCTTTAGTTCTAGGATTGCCTTAATTTTATCGGGATTTGCCTCGATTCCCCTTCGACTGGCTATGTATCCTAGAAATTTTCCCGACCCGACTCTAAACGTACATTTTTTGAGATTTAACACCATGGAGTAATCACGCAAAATAGAAAAAATTTCATTCAAATGAGTTACATGGTCGTTCGCATACACAGATTTTACAAGCATATCGTCTACATAGACCTCCATGGTTTGACCGATCAGATTAGCAAACATCTTGTTCACGAGCCTTTGATATGTTGCCCCTGCGTTCTTCAGATTGAACGACATCATGGTGTAGCAGTATAGCCCTCTGGCCGAATAGAAAGATGTGTGCTCCTTATTGTTTGGATTCATCGGGATCTGATGATATCCGGAATAGTCGTCCATGAAGCTCATAAGCTCGTGCCCGGACGTGGCATCCACCATGTAATCGATGCTGGGAGACGGATAGTTGTCTTTGGGGCAGGCTCGGTTGAGGTCGCTGAAATCGATGCACAACCGCCACGTTCTGTTATTCTTCTTTACCAGGACCGGGTTGGAAACCCAGACCAGATATTTTGCTTCTCGAACAAAACGGTTATCGACCAGCTTGATCACTTCGCCTTCAAGTGCTTCATGTCTGTCCGACCCCATCTTCCTCCTCTTCTGTACCGTTTGTTTGAACGTTCGGTCAATTTTCAGGCTGTGACATGCCATGTTTGGATCGATCCCCGTCATGTCCTCGTGCATCCATGTGAACACATCTACATTTTCAATCAAAAAGGTAATTAGTCTAGACTGGATGGGCTCGCCCAGATTTCTTCCAATGCGCGGCGATTTGGTGCAGTAAGGCTCGCCAAGGTAGACGATCTCCGTATCTTTGTTGGGTTCTGCTCGGTCGGCCTTCTTTCCCTTGAACTGGTCCCTTGGGTCCACCTCGTCTTTTTCCTCAGCGGGCTCCTTACCCGGACGACGCCCTCGGTCGGCCGTCAGGTCGTTTTCATCTGTTCCATAGGCTTCCAACAGCACAACTTCTTCGGTTGACCCCTCGTCCGGTTGGACTTCGATTGTTATGACCGCTGGGGGAGTTTACTTCCTTCTACCAGGACTTCAGTCGGTTCCTCTCTCTTCCTCTTTCTGTCGTCTTGGCCTTCACTATCACTCTCCTTCGACTCTCTTTGGGAATCATCATTCTTCGTCTTTTCTCCTTCGGTAGGTTCGGTTGGCATCCGGCTGTCTTGCTTCATTGGTTCGTTGGGCTGATCGTTTGTCTCCTTGGGGGGATTTGGTTCGTCATTCATAGCCATGACCGAATGTATCTCTAGCGACGGAATTGCCATGATACACACTCGGGCTTTCCTTTGGTTGCCATAATGCACTCCGATTCCAAGTTCGGTCGAAAATTTGATCGAATAATCAAAAATTGACACAGCTGCCTTCAACTTGTACAACGTCGTTCGTCCCAGGATGGCGTTGTATTCGCTGGTCATCTTCACGATCTTGAACGTCTCCATGATGACTCGTCCATTCGCTCCTCCTCCTCCCAGTTCGACTGACAGTGTGATTTCTCCTTCGGGTAGAGTGGCATGTCCGTTTAATCCTGTGATTTGGTCGTTGCACAGACGCAGCCCGCTCTTGTTAATCCCCATTCTGAGGAAAACGTCCCAATACAGGATACTCGAGTAGGCACCCGTATCGACCATGATCCGATGAACGGGGATGTGGAAAATTTGGGTCGTGATCACGAGCGTGTCTGAATGCGGGTTGTCAAACAAATGGGAGTCTTCATCCTAAAACAATATGAGATTTGTGGGGGCGGGCTGCCATTCTCTCACTTCCGCACGGCTGATCTGGTGTCTTGTGTTGTACGCTCGGCGCACGTACGCTTTGACCTGTCTTCTGGATATTCCCGAATCTCCTCTACTCGCGTTAATCCTTCTTGTGGGTACAGTCCTCCCGACTGGATTGTTGGACTACGCTTCCTCGTTCTGAACGAACACTGTTCTCTTCCTCTGGCCCCTTTCGGACGTGCTGGCCTCATCTCTCCGCTCCTGGCTGATTGTAAGGATCTCTCGGGGGCGCTCCCTCGCCCTTTGTTAGTTCGGCTCAAAATCGGGATCTTCCTCCATCTCCATCCGTTCATCATTTCTGGGACGTCGGTTTCTGCCTGTGGCTTTGGTAAATCTCCTCACCTGTGGATTGTCAATCAATTTCAATAAAGCAGATATTAGATTCCTGCACTAGTCCTTGTTGTGACCGTGCGAGTTGTGGTATGCACAATATCTGGTCTTGTCCAGATGCTCCTCGTCGGCCCGGATTGGCTTTGGGTCCGGTATGATTCCCTTGTTCTTCAGCTATTCGTACACAACCGTCGCGCCTGCCGAGTAGACTCTTTGATAACTGTTCGTCAACTCCTCATGATATTTCTTTTTCAGCGCCCGGACTTGGGCTGCCTTTCCTTCCTTCTGAAACTCCCTAAACGGCTTATGTTCTTTGGCTTTTGGTGACGGTTCGGTTGGGAATCCAAACGTTGGTACGAACATGCTTTCCTCCGCGATCACATGTTGTTGCGCCTTCATCAGGAACTCGTGTGATGTTTGCGATTTGTTCTGACATAGGGCCCATCGGAACATCGAGTTCGGCCTTAGTCCCGAATAGGCTGAAACGAGCAGGGTCTCCTAGTGGCACGGTTCTATGTTCTGCACAAGTTCGTTGAAGCGGGTGATGTAATCCTTTAGACTCTCGTCGGCCCCTTGGACTATGTTGGCGATCGATTCCTTCGGTATACGGCATGGTTGTGACCCGATGAAGTGTGTTCAGAATATCGACTTCAATTGTGGCCAGCTGTGGACCGAATGGGGTGGCAGTGAATGGTGCCATCGTTACGCTTTCTCGCTTAAGGTCAGTGAGAACATTCGACATCGTAAGGCATCTCGGGCACCGTGTAAGTCCATCCATGAGGTGAATAGTCCGATGTGGGTGCCCGGGTCCGAAACTCCATCATAGAATCCGATATGGAGGACCTTGATATTCTCCGGCAATTTTTCCTGTAAAATATCGAACGTTAGTGGTGATTCTGTCTCGGTTGAGATGGTTTATGTCCGTCCTCGGGAGGCTGTGATGGTTCGCCTCGGGATGACTTCAGTTTGGCCCTGGGACATAGAAATGGTTCGTTTTGAGCTTCTGCGTTGGGCTTCAACTCTAGACAGCCTTTTTCGAAGCTTTCTCATTTCTTCTTCCTCGTTTTCGCTTGTTCATCGTTTGAGCACTGTCCGTCTGAGGTCGTCCTCGGCCATGTTCCTTCCCAGTCGGTTGAAGACCGACCGATTGGTGCGGTGCGCACGCGAGTCTGTGACTGAACGGCTTTTATTTATCCGTTCTTGTTCGGTCCGCGTTGTGGTCCTTGTCTCTTCCCTCCGACTTCTGGTGGTGTCTTCACGGGATTGCGAGGTGTCTCCTTGGATCACCAGACCCTTGTCTTTAGGTCTGGTGGTCAGGTCTCTCTTCGCCGGCGTTTTTGGTGCTTGGGATGTCGATGGCCGGATCCGCGTCATGAGGTCGATATCCCCTTGACAAAGTTTGGATCCTTGAAAAAGGCCGAGTAGTTTGTCGTGGCTGGTTGGTGGTTGTGCTGGTTGTCTCTTTCCTCCGACTCTTCATGGCGGAATCTTTGGCTCGAAGATGATGCGATTGTTCGTGACATGTTGGATTTTTCTGTCCTCCTTCTAGCGCCAATTGTTGATGTCAAAAAATGACCAACAATGTGTTCGAACTGTATACTGAAATGTATACTCAGTTCGGTTTGCACGAATAGGAATTTATGTGGTATTCGGTACAAAAAATAGTACGAATGTAAGCTCTATCCGTGACTTTTATAGTATTAATGAGAGCATTTACGCATTGCATTTAATGTTGCCTCTTGCCCCTTATATAGGGAGTGTGAGGACTTATTACATTTCAATTTCAGATTTCCTTTTTTCTTTTCTCTTTACAAGATATTAATTGATATTTAGTCACACCACATCTAATTAATGTCATTGTACTATAATCACCATCTCAATAAAGCAACTTCGCCCCGGTCGTGACACGTGTCGCTGTTGGCTAAGCGCCCTTAGATAGACGATCGCCGGATCCCGCAGCATTAAATGCGTATCGTACGGACAAATCCGGGTAATGATTAGCGGTGGTCGAACACGCTATCTAGTTCTCGCTCGGTCATTATCCCGATCCGGTCCGTTCTATCTTGTTATCATTAAGAAATCGGACGAACGCGCATTAAATATAATTTTTTATTCGTTCGCTTTCTACCCCGTACAGTATTAGTTTCTAAATAATACAAAATAAATTAGAAAAGAAACTTTTTCTACTACAAAACTGATTGCTGACATGGAAAAAGCGTGTTGGCCGCAAAATGAGCCGACAATTGACGCGTTAACGACACGTACCCTCTCATGCATGGATTGGGTGACTAATAACTGCCATTATTATTCCAAACGGTTTGTAGCAATGAACCGAAATTCGTAATAAATGTGGAGACAAAAGTCTTGGTGTTTCTTCATACCCGTCCGTCTATAAAAACACCCCAAAGACGAATTAAACAACTTGTGAGTTCATTTCCTATTAACAACTTCTGGTTACTTGTTTTTTTTTTTTTTTCTTTGTNTTGTTCTTACAAAAAGATTTTCATTTCATATTTGGATAAATCAGTTAATCTTATTACAAGAAGACATGGAATTGAAGAACATGGTAGCACTTGTTTCTCGTACTGGAAGACAAATGCAGCGCTACAACATTTACGGCCACCGCCAAGTTGTTGGGTTCGACTCTCTCTCTCTCTCTAAAAAACGCATAAAAACCTAGTTTCATATGTTTTTATATCTACATATATATAATTACCTTATTCCTGTTTTGCGTACTTCTGAAAATGCGACACGATTGGGTTGATGTTATTAAGATTATACCTAATTAAGTATAGATAGCAAGATATATATATATATATATATATAGACCCAACACGTCGTACGTTGTTTCGAAGGCGCTAACTACTTTTCTTTAACATTAAAACGTTATGTGAAGAGAGATGCTTGAAGGTATTCAAAAATAAAATTGAACACGATACGAATTTATTTTGTTTTGAATATGTAAGTGCTTGCTTGTTTATAACTTTTTTTTAATATTATTGGTTAATTATTTTTAATTTTAGAAAATATGTTGAGTTAGTTTTGAGTGAGATTTTGAGTTTATATGAAAATAAGATTAAAAATAAAATAACTAAAGTTGATTTAATGTAAAAGTAGAAGAAAATTGATTAGAAGTGATGGGTAGTCATAATTATGTGAGTGAATGAATGTTGGATTAAAGTTGATCTGATGTGTAAATATGGTTGATTATATTATTTAATTATACTAATAATATTGAATATAGTGGAGTTGAATTAGATTTAAGTTAAAGATTGAATTTATTTTTTTTTTTTAAAAAATACTTATATCCAAGCATGCACTAATTGAAACGACGCCGGCCAAAATGAAGGGAGAATTTTTTTGTTTTAAATACATCTTTTTGTTTGTTAGAACAGAATTTAGATGAATCTTATGACTATTATTCAAAGCATTGTTGACTGAAAATTAATAGAGCAAGGATTTTTCTAAGTCGGTGTCGGTTTTGACTTAATCACTAATTCATGGAGAACCTGAGGAGTTATCTTCCACGATTTGCCTTATATATAATTTAATTTTATTTAGATATGCAATTAATAATTATTTCTTCTAATGGCACCAATCACTCCATATGGATTCTACAGGGATATGTCTCTCGCATGCAAAAATTGACTCACTAATAGTCAATGCAGCGTGTAATTTGGGGTACAACGAAACTAAGAACTAATCGGATGTTACATTTAGATCTTTGTAATTTTGACTTTAATATATTTTTTTTTTTCATAAAAAAATAAAATTGTTTTCCTATACATTGAAGCTGATTGAGAGTAATTAAATAATTGTTGTTTGTATATACAGATGCATCCCATATAGATACAAAAGCACATTTGGGACCTCATCTATTGTGGATGAAGATGACATTGAAGTTCTTGTTATCACTTCACAAAGGAAAGGAAAAGGGATGTTGTTTCCAAAGGTACGTAATTTGATTTAATTTTTGTCGACTAAGTATTACGATTTTAATTATTAATTATTATTATTACAATCTTTGATATTGGACTTGAATTCAGGGAGGTTGGGAAATTGATGAGTCGATTGAGGAAGCTGCCTTACGTGAGACGATAGAGGAGGCTGGAGTTGTAGGCGACATTGAGGTTATTTTTTATGACTTGAAACGTCTAATTATTCTTGATACCTATGGCTAATTTGGTCATCCTAACGACTTTAGGAAAGCATTAAGTCGGGAGGGAATCTGCGTCTAGGTTTCTATTCAATTAAGTTTTTTATTTATTTATTTTTATTTTATTGCAATGACTGCTCGAATTAATTTATAATGCAATATAAATAAAAGTATGAGATTTTATAAGATACCTATGGCTAATTCTATATATGATTTACTATGTTCTAACACATATATAACTTTACTAAAAATTAACTGCAGCATAAATTGGGCACATGGAACTTTATGAGCAAGAACAATGATACCTGCTACGAGGGCCACATGTATCCTATGCTTGTTAAAGAGATGCTCGAATTCTGGCCAGAGAAAGACGTACGCCAAAGGATATGGGTATAGTAATATCACATCATCTGATATTTCTTTATTCTTTTAAAGTTTACGTATTACGCCATGAAATTTCTGATATTGAAAAGTGCTTTAATGTTTTCTACAGGTAAGCGTGAAGGAGGCTCGACAAGTTTGTCAGTATTTGTGGATGAAGGAAGCATTAGAATTATTCGTCGATCGTTTTACAACATAATCTGTAGTAGTTTTTGAGTATCGATTGATTAGAATTGTAACAACTCGCGCTGACTATCGTAGGTTAAAAAAAGAAATGATGTGTGCTCATGCGCGAGCGGTTTTTGATATCTTATTACTCAAAAATACTCGCGGTCAGCAAAGCCATAAACCCGATTACAAATAATCGCGGTAGACAAAGCCGTAAATCTGCTTACAAAATATTCGTGATCAGAAAAGGCGTAAACTCGCTCACGGTCAGCAAAGCCGTAAACCCGCTCACAAATACTCTTGATAGGAAAAACCGTAAAATCCGCCAGCTTACAAAATACTCGCGGTCGACAAAGCCGTAAACTCACTCACAAATACCTGCGATCGCGCTAATCTTGGGCCATAAAGCCCGCACATGAAACTCAAACATGGTCAAAACAGACTCAAACCTCAATTTTCTCAAAAGCCCGCACATGTTGCGCGTGTACTCTCTCTTTCTTTAAATTTGATTCGCAAAGCCATATTGAAAAATAAAAACAAAATTAGAGCACAACTCAATAATGGGTGAATTGTTATAAAAGTTTAGGCTAAAATTACAATTTTAGTCCTATCAAATTATTAATGTATAACAATTTAAGTTCTGTAGTTTAAATTTTTTGCAATTTCAATCATTTGAACGTTGAAATTTCCAATTTTGATAATCAAAAGAAGTGAAATTGCAACAAAAATGTTAAATTACAAAACTTAAATTCCTAATCAAAATCCATCCCAAATATATAAACTGAGAATTTCGACGGCGAAATTACTGAAATTGCACCAAAAGTTTAAATTACATGACTTAAAATGTTATATATCACTCCGGTGGAACCTAAATTGGTAGTTTCATAATCTAGGACCAAATTTATAACTTTGCAATTTAGCAAAAACATTTGAGTAGTTCCATAAAGAAGTAAAAATTATCACATGTTATTCATGATTAGTATTCATGGGCTCAAGTTAAGTCTTAGACGGATTCTATATTTGTACTTGGACACAACACGACGGCCCAAGGACAAAGGCTGGGCTACGTTGGAGGCGTAGAGGGAGGAGGCCTCAAGCTTGTTAGAGAGAGAAAGAGGAAATTGCAAATTTGGTCCGTTTAATTTAGTACGATCGCAGTTTTAGTCTTGAGGGGCGCATTTTTAGTACTTAACTTAACGGGCTTTTTACATACATACTGAACTATGTCTTAAATAATTGCAAAAATACTACATGAAAAACTTATTTGCACATCTACCAAATTTATCATATTTTATTAGCAATATATCTAATTTCAAAATGAGTGTATTAATTTGATTTAAAAGACATCCTCTCTCCTCTCTTTCATTACTCTCTTTCCTATCCCACTTAATATCTTATTCATCCGTTTTTTTCTTCTATTCTCCTTAATTTTCTCCTTATCTTTTCTCTCTTCTCTTTATTTCATTTCATTTATCTCTCCATGTAAATCTATAAACTAATTTTTTTACTATAAATATATATCTAGTTTCTTTTTTTGTTTATTATAAGTTTATAAACCTATGCAAGAATACATAAATTATGAAAACATCAACCAATCATAATCAACCAAACAAAAAAATATGTCAATATACCAAATATAAACTATTAACAAACATCAAATAAACATTGAAAAATAAACTAGAAAATCTACTAATATATCGAACATAAAGTACTATGAATAAACATCAAAATAAACTTATAATATACCAAACATAAAGTATCTGAATAAACATCAAAATAAACTTATAATATACCAAACATAAAGTATCTGTATGTCGGCACTACTCACACAAACAAACTATCGTACCACCACTAAGATAGTGTGGATGGAAACATATACTGAAAATATACTGTATAACCACCACTGAGATAGTGTCGATGGAAACATATACTGAAAATATACTGTATATAAACGCAACATATACTGCCGACATCGCAACAAGCCCCGAGCTTCTGTCGCCGTCTGGCCTGATGAATTTTCCGGAGTCCATCCATCCCAATCGGAACTTGCTCTGGAAGGTCGCACACGACGGCCAAGAGAACCGCCTTGGCCATTGCTTAGTACGAAGAAAGCATAAAAAGCAATTTTTAATTCTTGAATTTACTTGCTCCATCTGCGGAAAAAAAAAAGCCCTTTTATTTCTTAAGAATATTTGGGAGAGATATTGTGGAACCAGCACAACCTAACCTCTAGAAGATGGGGTTGATTAGTTTTTTTTAATGTAAAATAAATATTGTCATTATATGTAGTCACCACGCCGATAAATCTGTGAGAGATTTATGACATAACCTCTAGAAGACTATTGCAGACCATTGAAGATTATTTATCTGCGTGTATTCATAACCTCTAGAAGATTTATTAATTGCATGTGAAGACCGCGTCGCCGCCGCCAGTCGTCGCCTCCCGAAGCAAATCCCAAGCGACTTTGTCGTGAATCATTCTATAATTGTTCAGTAATTTTCACCTTGGATTTTTATTTAGGCCATAGAAATTGAACCTAGGGTTTACTGAGAGTGAAGATGAGTTGAAGGAGTGGGGAGTTTGATTGTGGGTGAGATGTAGAATAATTAGGCGTGATATGAGGAACTAGTTTGTTTTGCATTTGGTAACTGCTCCTAATTAATTGCAAGAGCATACCATATAATGTCTCGTACGTTTGCAATTTAAAATAATAATATTGAGTATATTTGCTAAAGTCTTTATTTGAGATGTAAATTTGCAATAAAATGGCTGTGTGGTCGTATGGGGAGTAATTTCCTCTAACTTATTTTTGTTGTGAAATTGGTCCTACAACATTAAAAGTTAACAAATATGCCACGCGTGAGTCACGTGGTCATTAGTCATTAGTTTAAAAAAGAGGAAATTGCAAATATAATCCCATAAGATTGGTTTGTGTTGCAAATTTAGTCCCAAATGTTGAAAAAAAAATTACTATATTTTGTTGCAATTTTTATTCCGTAAGTATATAACAATCTTTGATAGTAAAAATTTAGTTTTGGGATGAAAAAAAATAATTACTAGATTATGGCTAGTTTATTGGAAAATTTTAAAAAAATATAATTGACCAGTCTGATCAACCAATTTTGGCTGGTTTATTGGAAACCAGTTCATTCAAAAAAATCTAACCGTTTAGTCGACTGATTCTAGATTCAACAGCAAGTTTAGCCCACTTTTCAAAAATAATAGTAGTTGATATTATTTGTATTTTTATTTTTATTTTTTAAAATTTTATTAACCTCTACGGTTATATTTTTATTTTTCATCAACCACTATAATCATAGTAAAATTAAATGTGGATTTTCTAAATATATTTATTATTTAGTTAAAAATATTTGAAATATAAAAATTATTATATTGCAATTAATTTTTTTAATATAATAATAATTAAAAATCAATTATTTAGAAAATAATTGTTTCTATAGTGGTTGATTTTTTTTAATTACAAATCAATGGTTTCCTTATTTCAAATATTTTTTATTAAATAATACATATATTTACAAATAATTATTTAATTTTATTATAATTATAGTGGTTGATAAAAAATAAAAATATAACTGTAGAGGTTAATAAAATTTTATAAAATTAGATATAAATAAAAATAATATTAACTACTATTGTTTTGAAAACTGGGCAAAACTAGATGTTGAATCGAGAATCGGTCAACTAAACAGTTGGATTCCTTTGAACGAGCTGATTTCCATTCCGTTTTATCAACTTAGACGAAAAAAAATTTCTTTCAACAATGTTCACTACCATTTTATTTTTTAATATAATGATTATAATATAAATTTAAATATATTTGAATTTAATAATTTATATATAGCAAATATGAGGAAATTGCAAATTTGGTCTCACGGTCACAATTTTAGTCCTGAGGGGTCATTACCATTTTTAGCTGTTAACATTGACTTCACGGCCAGTTAAATTTAGAACCAATTTCACAACAAAAATAAGTTAAATACTAAAATTGCACCTCTCAGGACTAAAATTGGAACTGTCCCAAACTAACGGGACCAAATTTTCAATTTCAAATCAACGAGGAACGAGATGTTCGAATGAATATTTGAATTGTTTGGCTATGCAGGAGGCGACATTATTACCTTTAATTAAAAGGAAAATATAGAGACAAACCACCTTAAAAAAACATCTTACCAAATACTAGTAAAGAGTTTCCATCTCTTTACCGTTTGTCCTAATAAAAAGAGGATTTACTAAATTAGAATCCAATAAACTTTATTGCTCTGCTTTAGCAACTAATTATTAGTGGGACTTGGCCGAATTGAATGGCCCCCACACTTCTTACTTCACTTCAATTAGAACGTTGGGCCCTTTTGATAATTTTTTTCCCTTTTTACCCATCCTTTATTAGACCGTTGTAATCTCATCTCACCTCACACATTATTATTTAAAAAAATAAAAGAAAAAAACAGAGAGAGAGCCCCTTAATTTCATCACCCAAGAAACTCAAAAATAAACTCGAAAATCACTTCAATGGCGGATGAGAATCCTTTTCTTCTTCTCCAAAATCGCACTCACCAATTCTCCGATTCCCAGAAGCCCCAGCTCCTGAAACTCGCGACGGAGAGCCCCGTGATGGAAAGAGGCCCGAGGTTCAATGAATACTCCCAACTCAGAGAGAGGAAGCTGAGATCGAAGAAGCTCACGGCACAGCAAACCCCGTCGGAAATATACGAGCCGCCGCCGGTTTTGACCCCGCAGAGAAAGCAGGTGAAATTCGGATCGGATTTCGCTACGCCGCCGAGGAGGCCCAGGGCGCCCTCCGCCTTGACCCAGTCGGTGCCGGATTTCTCGTCGGCGCTGAGGAAGGAGAACCGGAAGCCGGCCGCGGCGCAGCTGCCTCCGGTGGCGGAGAGGTCGTTGACGCCGCCGGAGGGGCTGCGCAAAGGCGGAAGGGGTTACGGGAGGATGGGCAGAGGGAGCAAATCGACGAATTCGGCGGAGAAAAGGAGTGGGGGGCTGATGGCGGCTCGGAAAAGCTACGCCAACATGGAGGAGCTGAAGAGATTGGCGGTGGCTGCCGGAAAAGAAATCAATGGAGGGAAAACTGGTGTGGGGAATAGACTCTTCTGAATTNTTTGGAGACTTTTGCTTGAAAGACTTTGACCTCATCTCAACTCCTGATGTAACTTATAGAAAGCTCACTGAAAGCGATGAATTCGTAGTCTTAGCAACCGACGGAGTAAGTTAACACTGAACTAATTAATCTCTATACATATTGTCACGTATCAGCTGCTGATTAGAAAACGAAATGTTTGTATTATATTTATCTAATAGTTGACTTCAGTTGAAGCTTTGATCATTATTAAAAGTGTGTTTGATAAGCACAATAAGCTAGCTTATAGTTTATTTGATTGACTTCTAAATTTCTTGTACTCAAATAAGTTTGGTTTGGTATATCGAGCCTTTTTAAAAAAACTCGATCTCATCTGATAAACTTACTTGGTAGCTTTTCAATTAAGTTCGCTGAAATTCTCCCATTTAGGAGTCTTTGGTGTGTTTGTATTGCTATGTTATGGTTTCTAGGCTACCTTTGGTAAGTCTCCCCCATTCGACTACTGAACTGATTGTGGTTATGTGTTCTAATAATGAATTCTATCGTTCAAAAAAAAAAAAAATATTTTGTTTGGTCTTCTTTCTTATAAGATTGATTATTATTCAAATTAAGCGAAAAAGGCCTGAATCTCCTAAATTAATGTTGACCTTTTCCAAAAAGATACGAATTCACAGTGATTTTTTTCTTTGGTAAAGACAAATACTTTTTTTTTGTCTCTGAGATTAGTGGCCAGAAATGACGTGGCCAGGCGGATCAATTTTTTAAAAATGCATACACTGTAGATTGTCATAAAATTGACCTTAAAGAGTAAATAAGAAAGGTAAGACACACACACATGAGACTGAGAGGCAGAAAAGAGAGAAAACTTAGCCAAGTATAAATTTTTCTTCACAAACAAATATGAAACCGAACTTAACAAAATGATAAATACACTGATCACTTCTCATAAATGCATCCAAAACATTATGTCATTCATTCAATCCCCTTGGACTTGAACAGCTCTAATGGGTCTCAACTGTTTCCCTTTGCTAACTAACTGGTGAAAAACACAGTAAACACAAATTAGAACAAATCACAATTCAGCTAACATACAGTCCAAAGATCCACCACAACCTCATCCACCAAAACCTGTAACAAAGACCTACTAATCTCCAAGCCCGTCTCAAACCCTTCATTCTCACACTCTGTCCAATCCTTGAGCGAAAAACTCATTTCCCTCTCCACCAACTTATCGAGACTATCATACCTCGAAAGCTCATCCCATCTCCTTACAACATCGACAATCTCAAATATCAAAGTGTTCATGTTCATCCTCAGTGGCAATTTTCTCGACACGTTCGATCCAAATTTACAATGCTCCCCAAATCTCTCTTCCAAATATTCTATAACAGAATCGAAAACGAAAATTTTCAGTTGATTAACCTCTTTGCCATCCTCAATGCCAAGAAAATTACCGAAATTCATCCATAGCATGCTAGTGAGTGTTTCCAGTTCGTCTATGATTAAATGCTTAATGGGACAGCCTTTTCCCACAAACCCATCTGAAATGGATGCATTGTGGAGTATTAGCTCGGAGTTCAAAAGGGCTACCTTTGCTTGGTCGAGCCTCTTTCCTTTGCTAGCGAGAATATCACAGCTCAAGATTTCGGACACATGGTTGACGATATCATTGACGAATTTGTCATTATTCGTTGCTCGATTATTCAAAGAGGCTGCAGCATATAAGAGCTCCAGATTAGATTTGTTGTGCATTTTGCAAACTGGGATTAGAAGGGATATTTTATTTATGAATGCTAGTGGATAGGTGAAACAAAATGGGGATATAGAATAGTGAACAAATAAAAATAGGGTATTGGTAAACATTGATTACAAATAAAACAATAACCAAAATGTTTTGTAATGAGTTTTCTAAAGATGCAATTTCTTTTTAGAAAGTATAGCTTTTTTGGAATATTTTTTGCGTCCTTTTTATATAAGACAAGTCTTAAAAAGAGTTCTTGCATGAGATTTGTCATTACCTAGGCTCTCATCTTGACTGGTAGAATGACAACTCTCGGCAGAAAAATAAGATTCAAGAATGGATCCAGGGCTCAGGCGCTCACTGTCAAGTGGTGGCTCAACAGACGGGTTCATTGCCATTGCATTGTCCTGAAAGAGACAAAATTATAAGATGTGTATTGATATCTGCTAGAATAAATTGACTTCATATGAACTTCAATGCACGTCAATCACTATACGCATACCACACAAAGTAACTGTTTCATTTGTAAACAAAATTTAGCAACTGAATCTTCAAATGATGTTTTAGCCAGTTAAAATGACAAAAAAATTGTCACATTGGATAGATTTTCGGTTTGGCTTGATAACCACATGAGGTTTGCCAAGAGTTTAGTTGGCATTGCTGAGATAAACTAATATCCTAATTAAGGAGTCAATTTATCTTGTTTTCCTGAATATCCTAATTAAGGAGTCAATTTATCTTGTTTTTCTGTTCAGAGGCCCATCTTACTAGTATAAAGAGAAACCAGACTAATCAGAGTAATCCCAAGTTACATTTTCTTAAACATTTTTCTCCAGATTTCAAAATTCCTTACAAAATTATGATATTATCAAAGAGAATGATCGTAGGAATTCATTTTTTCTGCAATTAAAAGATATTTTGAATTACCTGTGAACTAGTGGAAGACGAGTTAACTAACATGCTGTAATTACAGCAGCTACTTCGTCTATCAGAATAAACCGGTAAATTATCCTCCACTGTTTGTTTATCTGTAGTTAAGGCACATATTAGCTCCTGTAGTATCATCGAGGTAGTTTTCCTAGACGTTTTTCTCTCAAAACCATCCTTTGCATAATTCAATTCCTTCAACTTCTGCAGCAAAAGTGCACCCAAGGCATCACCACTTAAAGGCAGTGGCTTTTCTAATTTCTTCCTCACACCATTTTCTCCAGAAGGTGAATCATATTTGTTCCTTCTTTGAGAACTAAATGAGAAAGAACCAACATTATCTTGCGATTTATCCATATCATTAATGATGTGATCACGTTTTCCGGGCATTACAGGAAAAGAACTAAAATTCTTTTGGGACCTTACAAAACCAGCACTTTCTTCTACTTGTCTAGATACATTATTCGGCCGCCTCTTTCGTCCAGCTGGCACCGAATCTTTGATACCATAAGAGATCCTTTTCTCCATTTCAAATTTATCGTTTTCCATTCCAATGGGAAAGTTTGCCTTACTGCTAAAATTCTTTGATTCGCTCACATTGCCAGCTTTGGGCCTCAGAGAAGAGCCCGAGGCCCTCGCCTGAAACGTGTGGACCCCACTTTTAGCCTTTACACTCGAACTAAATGCAAAAGGAAGAGCTTCTGAATTCCTCTGTACCGGCACACTGAACGGAATATTGTACTGCGTGAACTTCACACGAGACTGTAACGAATCACCATCTTGTTTAACAAATGCAGTGGGCCTCGAGCAATTGGCGAAAATCGACAGCTTTTCACTAGCGGCGTGTTTGGATCCCAAATTATCCACCAAATAGCCACAATTTCTGCAAGAGGGCTGATAACTATCCACCGATGGGCCCGATAACAAACGGGCCCTCTCGTCCATAACAGAATTATGTGAAGGATGAGAAGAAGCCAGAATTCTACTGGCAGCACCAATCAATTTGGACGGACGTTTGGAAGAGGCATTTTTTGGGCTTTTCAATAGGGAAGGTAGTTTCGGAGGGTGATTTTGCTTTCTCGATTTTGACAACACACACTTAAAAGGCTGCAGCTTCTCAGGAACAAATTTGGTCACTGGCTGCCTTTCGGTCACGCTTGTTCTCTGAAGCTTTTGAGGCCTCGACTCTTGCTTAACCTCATCTTTTTCCGAATTCGGCAAACTTTTCTTGGATTTATCTCTTTGTAATGCTGGCATGGATTCGAGGCCCATGAGCCGGGCAATCAAGCCCGGTGCTCGAGTTTCTTGCTGCTTTTGTTGCTTATCGACATTACGCTTTGGAAAACCTCCACTGTTTTCATCAGCAATCTATTTCGGTTTTTCGCATAAGATAACATATAATGTAACATTAGATCAAAGGTAGTAAGGACACATTACGTAAGTGTGTGTGCGTGTTTGAGTGTGTGAACATACCAACCGAAGCTTCGGCTGCTTTCCGACCCCAACGAGTTTCTTTGAAGCTTGTTTCAAACGAACTGAACTCAAAAAATGCAATTTTGTGTAAATATGTTGGCGGAATATTTTATTCAGAACTCAAAAAAGGGAAAACAAGGGAAAAAGGGGAGGACTCATCATCACCTGGAGGAAGCAATTTTGTGGAGAAGAGCTTCTTCTTAGCCATTCTGCGGTTCCAATCGAACAGTTGAAAGAAAATCCCAACACATCCTCCAGATTTCTTCTCCACAACAGATAAAGACGATGATGACGTTTTCTCCAGCGTATTATCCATTTCTCCAAAAGGATTTTTCTCTTCTCCTTTTTTCAT